GATGTCTGAGCTAACCTCCTCTAAAATACTGAAGCATGTTTTTCTCTCTCTTAGTTTTACCAAATTTTATCATAAAAATTCAAATGCTGCTGAATTACATAAAGGAAATAGTAAACTAGGCTTCTCATAGAATCCAAATTCCATTCTCTTTTACCTCCATTTTACCAGGAACATTAAAAATCCTCCCACATATCCCTTTATTAGGACGCGTAGGTTCTAAACCAGCGGTTCTCAACCTGTGGGTCACGACCCCTTTGCGGGTCGAACGACCCTTTCACAGGGGTCACCCGATTCATAACAGTAGCAACAAAAATAAATTTATGGTTGGGGGTCACCACAAAATGAGGAACTGTATTAAAGGGTATTAAACTGTATTAAAGGGTCGCGGCATTAGGAAGGTTGAGAACCACACTCCTCCCTACCCTAGCACTGTGACCTTAAACCCCTTGATCTTATCTCCTCTGTTTACATATCCTTTCTGATTTTCTCATTCAGTCTCATAGTTTTGAATTCTATATTAATATTTCCCAGAACTCCGAACCCACAACCCATTACAAGCTCTCTCCACATAGAGACTCATGGTTTGCCCAAAGCCATGGTATTGACCTGTCCGTTCACATCTGCTCCACTTTCGCAAGCAAGCAACCAACCAACCAACCGCCATCAAGTTCACTCCAACTCATGTGGATGACCCCATGTGCTCCACAGGGTTTCTAAAGGCTGGTTTTTCAAAAATGGATCATCAGGCCTTTCTTCTGAGGGTGGACTTGAACTCCAATTTTCTGGTTAGCAGCCAAGGGCATTAACCACCTTCCCCTCTAAGGGACACTGCTCCCGAGATATTCGCTCCATCCTTCCAAGGGTCTGGGTGCGAGCCTATGAACCAATGCAGCCCTTTTGTAATAGTTAGGTTTCGTGTCAGCTTGACTGGGCCTAGATTCTCAGGAGTTTGGCCATGGAAGCCTCCCCCATGAGATGGTTTAGTAGAATTTAAAAAAAAAAACATTTTACTGGGGGCTCTTACAGCTCTTATCACAATCCAGACATCCATCTATTGTGTCAGGCACATTTGTACATTTGCTGCCCTCATCATTCTCAAAACATTTGCTTTCTACTTGAGCCCTTGGTATCAGCTCATTTTTTCCTCTCCTTCCCCATCTCCCCCACCCCAAGAACCCTTGATAATTTATAAATTGTTATTATTTTGTCATGTCTTACACTGTCCAACATCTCCCTTCACCCGCTTTTCTGTTGTCCGTCCCCTCCCTGGGGATGATGATATGGAGATCCTCGTAACAGAATAAATTTATGAAGCCATCGGCCGTGAGCAACGGCGCTGTTGTAAGAGGGTTAGGAGGTCATGCAGCCTCCTTCCCCAAGTCACAGCCCTGCTGCCAATGAAAGGTGTTTCCTCAGGGTGTGTGGCCGGTGCCTATTTCAGCAGCTCACTCTCCTTGCTGGTCGGACCCTACATTTGTCTCATTAACCTCTGGTTCTTGGGACTTGAGCCCCTGGCTGGCCATGTTGTCTGGGGACCTTGGATTCATTTGACTCTGCGGCCTGACCTGTGGGCTGTCTGGTAGTCATTACTCTGTCTGCACGAGCCTGATTCTGGGTTCCTCTTCCTGCTCCCTGGCTCATCGGCCTCGGCAACTGCCTGGATCAGGAAAACCCTCCATCTCACCCATCGACTTGAAGAGACCTGACTGACGAATAGCTACGTCTGCTGGAGCCACGTTCCTGAGATAAATGTCCTTCTTCCTAGACACAGAGAAGCACCACTGATTGTGCTTGCTCTAGAGAACTCGGTCGAACACAGCTTCCTTTCTGCTCCTATCTGACAGCACATCAAATCGACGGGCACTCCTTTGAAAGTATTTCCAAAATCTGACCACTTCCCGACCTCTACATCTACACCTCGAAGAAGGACAACCATCAATCATTTCTTGTCTGGATGATCATAACCCTCAACTGATCACTCTGCCTTCCCCATACTCACTGCTTCCTACCCATATGGGTCTAGCTAAACCATAGAAGCAGAGGGATGCTATTAAAACTGAAGTCAGACATGTCAGCCCTTTGCTCAAAACCCATCGACAGCTTCCCTTAACACCTACAGAGAAGCCAAGTCCTTGAGACCTACTACAAGGATCTAGTGGGCCCCTGTCTGATTCCACTATAAACGTCTTGCCCCTGTAACTGAATCCCTTACTGGTTCTTTGTTATTCTTCCACCAAGGCTGACTTAGCACTATGTTCCCCTTTTGCTTGAATGCTCTTCCTTCAGATACCTGAGGGCTTGCTTCCTCATCCACTTCAGGAAATTATTCAGATCTACCTGTAAGGCTGCCCAGCCTAGCCCACTTAAACCTGAGTCTACAACCCTTATACCTATCAATGATACTTCTCAAGATATCATTGGTCCTTTTCAAGATAATACATTCTCCTATCTAAAACTTCCACCTTTCAATTATTTACTTCTTTTGTTTATCTCCCCCAGCATTGTAGAACCCTGGTGGCTGGCACAGTAGCTCGTGCTTGACTGCTAAGTGAAAGGGTTCGAAGTCATCAGCTATAAAGATGTACAGCCTAGCAAAGCCGGGGCTGGGGGGGCTGCTGTACTCTGCCCTCAGGGTCACCAGGAGCTGAAATCTGCTTGACAACAGGGATTGACTGTTGCATTCCAAGTACCCATCTGTGCTTGGCACACAGTAAGCCTTCAACAAATACATGTCAGAGAATGATACATATAAATTGAAGGTACACAAAAACTCTTCTGCATCTTTCTTCTGTCACTCAGAGCATATTGATGATATTTTTTCTATCAGGACATTTAAATGTGTCATGTTTTATTTTTAATTTAGTGCCTCCTTCCCTCCCATTTAAGAAATAATAATAGGTGTGATATAAGCTTGGGAAAAATTTTAAATCCAAAATACATAAAGGAAAAGGTCAACTCTTTCTATCACTCAACATATATACGACCAGGGATACTGCTAGATCTCCTACACGGACATCAAACCCCTGATCAATCCACCTAAGCACATGCTTATATAATGTGAACTTCATACCAAAACACCCTCACTGCCAGCATTGATACTGCATATATTATTCTGTCAGTTGTTCTTATTGCTCTAAAATATGAAGGAGCTTCAAAAAGTTTGTGGGAAAATTACATTATTTTTAATTCTATTTTTCCATGAATTTTTGAAGTCCCTCATAGACTGTGGATGTTTAGCTAAGTCGAACACAGCCACTTCATTAGTCTTAAGAACCCCTATGTATTGCTTATATGGATTTATCACCATTTATTTAGAAATTCTCTATTGATGAGCATTTAGGTTATATTCAATTTCTGTTATTTTCAAAGCATAATAAATAGTTTGGCAAGTACTCATTTGTACATATGTACATTTTCCATGCCTGAAAACACCATATTAATGTATTTGTTTAGGTTCTATTTTGTCTTCCCTGGACTCTAATCCAAGCTCATAACATCAGGAACCTTGGTGCCTGGTTCATCTCTATAGAACAGAGCTTTATATATAACAATGGTTCAATATATACTTAATCAAATGAACGAATAAATACATGTATCCCTTTAGAAGGGATGAGAAATATCCTTACAAGCGAAGTCCCTTGAAGAGAAAAAGTCAGGCCCGGGGCAATCAGATCTGGGCTTAATTTCCAGTGGTAAGATGTGTTTTTAAGGACTGTTTATTGCCCTCAGAGTTGGTATCATGTTTGCACCTGACAATCTTGGACTTGAAGAGTTGAGGTACTTCGGTAAAGATGTATGATGTTTTTGACAAGTTCCCACTTCGCTTTCCATGAAGTTCTAGATACTCCTTAATTATCATATTTTAAGAGAAGAAATGTTTTAGAGTAAAAGTATCTGGAAGCTACAGGAGATCTTAGGAATTATTAATCCGATTCTTTTAGGTAAAGAAACACGGGGAAAATCTCTCATATTATGAGGGGCAGTATCTACAATGAAATATAATAAACATCACACACTCTGGAACCCAGTAATCCCACCAATCAGTATCCAGCCACCCATCAGTGTTCAGGCTAGAAAGCTGCCGCCCTTCTGCCAGTTGTGCTGCGATGGCTTGTGTGCTGCTAGGAAGCTAGAAGACGGGTGCCACCAGTTTGTGAAACATCAGTAGGGTCGCCCCGGGTTGACAGGTTTCAGACTCCAATAGAATAGGAAGAAAGGTCTGGTGATCTATTGCTAAAAATTAGCCAATCAAACCCCGGCTATCACAACAGCATATTGTCTGGCACAGTGCTGGAAGAGGAGCCTCCGAGGTCCACACAGTGGCTGCAGCAATGGCCTCCAGCCGACCAGCGGCCATGCTGATGGGACTGACGATGCTCTGCTGGACACAGGGTGGCCGGGAGTCGGAGCCGACTCAGGGGCAGGTAACCACCCCCACCACCCCCTGAGACACAAGCCCCCCAGTCCACAAAGACGCTTGACCAGAGCCCCGGCGATCACGGAGGAGAACGGGAAACAACAGGAATGGCCGGCAGCAGGGGAATAACTCAGTACCATGCAGCCAGACTTGGCAAACCGTGGTTTTACAAAGCAGGTCAGGCTAGATTTCTACCAGTCAAAGGTCTGCAGGACAAACTGTTGAGTGAAACAAACAAACAAAAACTATGCAGCAAGCAAACATGCCCACTATTATACTGCGTGTGTTAACACACACACACACACAACAATGCTCTTTTCTATGTGTGTGAGCAAACACGTGGATTCTTCAACACACAGAAAAGGCCTGGAGTGAACACCAAACTGAAGGTAAAAAGAACAAAAACCATGGTTATCCCTGAAGAGCAGGGAAGAACTCTGACCTCATTCTATAACGATTTAATTTTCAAAAGGAGGAAGTATTTATATATCAGCTTATATTCTCAAAAACCAAATTAGAATAAATGACCTAAGGCCATAAATCACGAACTACCAAAAAAACCTCAAAGCATGAACTACACACTTAAGCAAGTGCGGCCGTGTGCGCGCGCGCACACACACTTTCTTTCCTCTGAGTGCAGTTCACATTTTATTACGCAGCCCTTCACCCTTGGTTTTCCTTTTAGCTTAACTTTTTGGATTGAGATCAAATTAAATGCAAAAAACTGTGCTAGCGTAAATATTTTGAAAAATTAAAATTAGAAATAAAGACACATTTGGGAAGCCACCTTGCCCATCCCCTCCCCTCCAAATTTATTCTTTTTTTTCCCTTTCTTTCAAATCTCACTGGAATAGGTGATCCCTTTGTTAATAAGGACCAGTGTGAGCAACACTTATAATTGGGTAGTTGGGGATCAAAGCTACTTCTCACCAAAAAAAGAAAAGGGGAAAAAAAAAAAGCTCTATCATGATAAACAAGGAATATAAATACTCTTCAGAGTTTGGGAAACACGCACATAAACACGACTCAATTGGACCCAAGGAGAAATTTTGGGTGGGTAGGTGGAGGGGGGGTATGTACTTTGGCTTCTCTGAGATACAATCTTCTGTCATAGAATAAACCATTAACAGCCATAGAAATCAATTTCCTTTCAACATTTCTGGAAAAATCCTGTGATGCAGGAGGGAAGGTTAACTCCTGCGCCCAATCTCACGGAGATAAATAAAACCAACTTACTCAAGTTATGATTGTCCTTTTTTTGTCTCTCTTTAGCCAATGCTCTTGCTTCAGACTCTGTGGGGAAAATACACGCTGTGCACGTGAATGAAGTAATTAGAAATTGGAATTGTTCAAGGCACACAATAAACAGAAAATAATAAAACAGAACTATAAAAATAAATCTAACTACTACAATAAGGTACTAACCATCTCTTTCTACACATATGGAGGCTTGTATGACTTGATCCTAAGTAATTTTTAAAAATTAATCATTTTATTGGGGGGCTCTTACAAATCTTATGACAATCCGTCAGTCAGCAGTATTAAGCACACTAGTACATATGTTGCCATCAACATTTCAAAAACAATTTCTTTCTACTTGCTTGGTATCAGCTCCTCTTTTTTTCCCTTTCCTCCCCCATCCTCGTAAATCCTTGATCAATTATATATTATTATTGTTATTTCGTGTCTTACACTGTCCATTGTCGCCCTTCACCTAATTTCTGTTATTTGTCCCCCTTATGAAGGGTTCCCGCTTTGTCCCTACCCCCCCCAACACCCACCATCCCCCTACCCTCATGATATTGCTACTGCCACTACTATTCCCAAGGAGTTTATCTGTCCTGAATTCCATGTGTCCAGAGATCATATCTGTACCACTGTGTGTACTACTGTTTAGTGGGATTTGTAAGGCAGAACTGAGTCATGGTAGTAGGGGGGTGGGGGTGGGGAGCATTCAGGAACTAGAGGAATGATGTGTGTTTCATCGGTGCTAAAGTGCACCCTGGTTGAATCCTAAGTAAAGGACTTCATCTCATTTCATTGTCCCCTGACCAGAATTTGGAAGCACCTGGCATAAGGAGATTTCCTCCACATGTTTGGAGACGTTGGTGAGCACTGATAGAGACTGCGTGTCTGGCCTTACAGAGAACAAAACAATGCATCAGGCTGCTTATGCAAACACCTAGTACCAAAGAATACTGGGATTGAAGGATCTGTTATATTCTCTTTATAAATATTCTCAGAAACATTACACTATTGTCATTCAGAATTTTACCTCAAAATAGTACTTTTATTTTTTAGACAAAAGTTAATGTCACTAGAATATTAGGTGATGTGTGTATATGGTTGGGGACAGGGCTTCAATGTCTGTGTAAAATGTCATTCAAAGAGAGTGGAACCTTTTTCCCACCAACTCTGTGAGGTCTCCTCACAGATCCCTGTCTGCAAATCACCAAACTCACTGCCGATGGGTCCATCCCACCCCACGGCACCCGGGAGTTTCTGAGGCTCTTCATCTTTGCGGGAGCAGAGAGCCTCTTCTTTCTCCACAAACTGACAGGTGGGTTTGAACAACCCACCTTGTGGTGAGCAGTGCAATGCTTAACTGAGTGTGCCAATAAGGCTCCGATTTAGACTATCAGTGCCTATAAACTACACATCGACATTCATTATAGGGATGTTCCATTTCCCCAAACAGGCCCATCCCAAACAAGCCTAGGTATTGTCTCTTCATGTGGAAGCACCATGGGTGATATGCATTCACATTTCACCCGCTTCAACCACATCCTAGGTCGACTTGTTTTTGCTTTGTCTCTGCGGAAGCAAGCCTGTACACAACTCAAAATTTTATTCATTGTCACCTCAGCAATATTTTATCTTTTTCTAATAGAGATCTCATTTGGCAATCTTCATAGGTACCTCCTGTTTTGGTTTTTGATCATTCCTATTTATTAATAATAAATCAATTAATTATCTTTTTAACCACAATTATGTTGCTATTGTCTTTTTTCCTGTCACAATTTTCTGAAGATTTATTTTAAGACATCTTGAACAAAACCAGACTTTGTTACACTATATCCTCTCTTGACCCAGGTCCGCATAAAGCTGGGCCCTCTTCCCCACAAACCAAGTTGGGACCCTAAAAGCCATCTTGGTAAAAAGCCAGTTCAAATATAACCTGTCTTGTCTTGGTGGCCAAATTCCTCTCCTACCGCACTGAAGCAACTGGCAAAATAAGTCATTTCACATTGGCCTCAATACACACACGAATACTCTTCACTCCATCTTACAATTCATCTTTTCCCTCTGGGTAATAACTCCTCTGCACATGACAGCATCATGAAAATAACACCAGGCTCCTGCCGAGGTAGGACGTAACCTCTTATCCCGCCCCAACTTAAATGCGTAACAGGGCATGTCAGAGCAGGGTCCTCAAACCAATGCCTTCCTGGCAGGTAATACAGGCAGCAGGCTGGGTGGTGATCGTTCACAGCTAAAGAGGACCTGCTGCCTGTCCCCCTCGCCCAGTGGGGACCGCAGCCGCTGACACCGTGATTGTTGCCAGGCAGTTCCGGCAGCCCAGATTCCTAGTGTGTCAGGAAATACTGGAAATGAGGAGTTTCAAGTATAATTTCAAAAGAGCACTCAATTGTTTTTGAACCACTGCATAACCATAACAAAGTTGGACAGTCTGGACGGCCTAATTTTCCCAAACTTGATTAACCAAGATATCAAGAGAAAATGGCCAGAAAGAGGCACAGCTGCTTGGTATTTACCTGTGAGCTCCCTTTTGATGTTGGGAAGGTTGGCTGGACACGAGTTGCTAATGGTCAGGTTTGGGGGTGGCAAGCCTTGGTTACTGTAAAGGTCAATCAAGTTACCAGAGACAGGTAGCTAGAGAGAGGAAAATAACAGAAATGAATAGCTGAACAACTCCCAAGTTATTCAGAGAAATACCCCCCACACTATTCCAGGCGGTAACGAAAGTGATGTGCTATAAAAGTTATTTCTTTACATAGGAAAAGATGAGATGCTATGCTTTTCCCAGAAATGAAAAGTAGAGGCAGACCGTCTCCTTAGATCATTCTTTTGGGAGAGGAAAGGACCCAGTGCTAACTGGTTAGACCACCTGGCATACGACCCACACCTACGAACTGGTTAGACCACCTGGCATACGACCCACACCTACAAACTGATTAGACCACCTGGCATATGCGTTTGCTTCAACCAGGAAGACCGCGAACATGTGGCCACCGTGTCCCCTAGGCTGGCTGGCAGCATAGAGGAGAGGAGCGTCTGGGTGGTTGATGTTCCTCGCTGGCCCCTAGATTGCAACTTCTGAGGTCCCCGAGCGTACAGCGTGGAACTGCAGTCCACCGAGTTGTCAAAGCGAAATACTCGACTATACTGCCGATGCATCCCCTGGTGGGATCGAACTGCCAATCTTTTGGTTAGTAGCTCACTGCTTAACCATTTGTGCCACTCAGGTATTCCTTAGATGTTCAGTAAAAGTTGAATTATGGTACTGCGAAGGAATTGTGACTATCTCACAGCCTGTTAGAAGAATGAGCCCATCTGTCTTGGAAGAAGCCGAGTCAGAACGCTCCTTGGAAATGAGGACGGAGACTCTCTGTCTTACGTACTTTGGACAGGTTCTCAAGAGGCATTAAGGTTACCCAGGTCCCTGAAGAAGAGCATCAGACTTGAGAGAAGAGAGCGTCAGCCAAAGCGAAGGACCGTCACTGAGCTGGATGAACACCGGGCGGGCGGCCAGGAGGGGCTCACACACAGCAGGGACCCAGAGGCTGGTGCGGGGCCGCGGGGCTCCTTGCTCTTGTGCACAGGGTGAGGATGTGTTGGGACTGACTCTGCCCGGCCTGACAACCACACTGTCACAAAGGATAACTGTCTGGGAGGATTTTCCCCAACAAATCAGGTTTGTCACTGAAGACAATTTTCTTCCTCTGTCTCTCATTTCTCTTTTTAAAAAAGTTCACTGCTTAAGTGGGTGAAGGGAGACATCAGATAGGGCAAAATATGACAAAATAATAATTTATAAATTATCAAGGTTCATGAGGGCAGCAGGAAGGGAGAGGAAAAATGAGGAGCTGATGCCAGGGGCTTAGGTGAAGAGCAAATGTTTTGAGAATGATGAGGGCAATGAATGTGCAAATGTGCTTTACACAATTGATATATGTACGGATTGTCATAAGAGTTGTATGAGCTCCTAATACAATGATTTAAAAAAATTCACTTCTATTTTATTAAATTAGCCACAAAAAGCAGTGGATCCAGAATTTCTATATGAGATGTGCCTTTATAGAGAAATCAAAATGATGTTTCAATAGGTTAACTCTGTAAGGTCTTGCACACCTAAGAGACGAACACCATTACTATTTCCATTTACCAAGGGGGCACTGAGCCGTAGATGGGTAAAGTTGGGTTGCACACCCATCTCTAAACCACAAAAATCTCAGGTTGATTTTGTTTTATTTTTCAGTTTTTTTAACATTCTTCTTTTAAGAAGAAAAAGAAATAAGTATGTCCTTGCTGGAAAAGAAATGGTTTTCCTTGAAATTGAAATTTTTCACAAGGCCACAAGAGGGAGCCCACAGACTTCAATTATTTTTAAAAAGTCTACTTCAAAGGGAAAATGAAAAGAAATAGCTATTCCAAGTTAGCTTTTAAAAAAAAAAATAAAAGTATTCTCTAGTTCTGAATGCAATGGTTTAAAGTCACAGACTTCTGTTTGTTCTTTTTTTTAAACCTATACAGACCCCCTTGGGGAAATTATATGAACTCTTAGCTAGTTTACTGAAGTAGTTTGATACTGTTTTTTGTATAAACAGTATAAAGGGGTCCAAGCCATGTTTCTCTGCCTAGCCCCGGTGGTGCAGTGGTTATGCATTGAGCTGTGATCCTCAAGATTGGCAGTTCAAAAGCACCAGTGGCTCCGAGGGAGAAAGACGGGGCTTTCTACTCCTGAGAACAGTTACGATCTCAGGAACCCACAGGGGCAGTTCTGCTCTGTGCCGGCATCTCTAAGAGCTGGAATCAGTGAAGACAGTGAGGTTTTGAGAGCCAAGGAACTAGTACGAATTGCTGATTATTAGCAGTCAATACATTCAGTGGTTTCATTTGAAATACGTCACCTGCTTAGGGTTAAGCTTTATTCCTGCCCACAGTCACCCAGAGGGAAAGGCATTCCAACATATCACGTCACATGGTAAACCAACAGCCAAGGAGCAAAAGGCGTTGTGTGACCTCTGGTGAGGAGCCCTGTGTTTTTCTGGAGTTTCAGATTTCTGGAGAAATTCTTGGTATAGCTGAACTTAGAAATTTGACTTCAAATATCAATGCAGCAACCTAAAATTAAATTATTCTCATGGGCTTAGAAAGGCCAATCGTGTACATAGTTTTTTCATATGCAAAGTGTATGTGGCGCATGCTACTGTGTTCTGATGGTCAGTTGTTAACGGTAAATTATAAATCAGTGATATTTATTTAGCTCACTTTAAAAACAAGTTCCAGGTCCTTCAATTGCTCCATATTAGATTCAACATAGACACAAATATTCTAACCATGTGTTAAGAGAGGATGCTATGTGTACAGTATTTAATCAATTTGGAATCACAGAGAAACATAGATGTACAGGCAAAGGGAATTTGAAATTGGGCCTGAGACTAGACTGAGGTAAAGACCCCAGGGGGAGGGAGGAAACACACCAATTCCCAGAGGGAGAGAGAGGGAAAGACAGGGAGACAACAAGGTGCAGGGAGAGAGTTCACCGCAGAGAGCAATCCAATGGAGACAGGTGATCGCAGAGAGGAGGAAGGCCTGGCGGCAGAGGTGAAGGGTTGGGGGCTCTACTCTGTCCTAGACAGCGGCCACGAGTTGGAAAAACAGCCAAGTAGTGCGCTGGATTCAGTGTTGGAATGCTAATGGAAAGGCTGGCAGTTCAAATCCAGCAGGTGCTCTTTGGGCCAAGGACGTGGTGGTCAGTTTCCCAAAGATGAGAGTTCTCCTCTGTGCTTTAGGGTACAGTCAGGATCCCCGGGGTGGCCGTGGTGGGGAAGGGCATGAATCAGAATGGAGGGGCTGGTGGTGGCTGGCTTTTATCGACAGAGAGGACCACTGTGACTGGCGAGGCACCCAAGTCTCCATAACAAGGGGCCTCCCAGCACTCGGCTGAGGCCAGGTCTGACACCAGCAAGTCCAGTGGGAAAGGCAGCTTACTGTCCGCGGTCTGCTCCTCTGAAAGATTTCCTGCTTCCGTGGCTTTCCCAATACTTGTTGATTGAGAGTGGCCGGCACAGATCCGATGCGAGTATTTTTATGGTGAAGGCATTTATCAATTTTATAGTAAAATTAATTTAGAGTCCATTCAGGCCCAAGCTGAGAATTAGAAAGGCACTTGGTGTGTGTCACCTTACTGAGTTTACAGAAATGAAGAGTTAAAGTTTTGCCATCATTAATGAGGCTGATGTTAATATCAGTATTTGGGGAAGTCCCCCGGTGGCACAAACAGTTATAAACCAACAAACTGGGGATTCAAAGTTACTGCCAGGTATCTTGGAAAAAAGGCCTGCATCCTTCTGAAAGGGCTCAGGCATGGATCCCCCCAGCGCTACTCTGCATACACAGGGAGCCCAGGAACCAGACTCCATGTGGCACCAACTAGCTTTGGTTGTTGGTGTTTTTAAAATAAACATGGTGAATTGGAAATGAAAATATTCACCTCATCGCCAACTGGACCTGAGAAATAAAAATCTAACTGCTCTTGTGCCAAATGTGGATAGTCTAGTCTACAAATGAACAGCACAGCACTTTACAGCCTGCGCTTAGGAGGTAAAGCCCATGTTACCACTAACATCCTGCCTGCTGTGTGGTATTAAAGCACCTCTTCTAACCTCTCTGAGCTTCAATGTTTCCCCCGTAGGAAAAGCGGCTGCTGTAACATCCACTTCACATGAGGTTTTGTGGAATGAACTGAAATGAGGCAAGACACAGAGCATCCTCCTGAACTGACCAGCAAGTGATAGCTGCCAGGATCAGACATGCTGTTATTGTCCAGAAAACTGAAAGATGATGGAAAATTGCACTGAGTGAATGTTCCCCTTCTATAATAGTTGGGGCAGGAGAGTAAATTTTCTCTCTGATCAACAAAACTACTTGTCATGCTAATTGCTAAGTCTATCGGCTGCGTTCCAAATTCTCATTGCTTTCAAGTCGATACCGGTGCACAGAGAGAGAGCCTAAGGCCACAGGAGAACTACCATGTGGGTTTCCAAGGCTGTAAATCTTTACTGGGGCCGGAAACCTCATCTTTCTCTTGAGGAGCTGCTGGTGGGTTTGAACTCTAAACCTTGTGGTTCTCAGTCCAACAGGTCACCTACTTCGCCACCAGAGCTCCGATTGGCTGCATTACAGACCTGTAATTCAAATCCAAGCACAGCACTGACAGTATCTGTAGCACTAAGTGCTACAGGGCTTCTCTACTGGGGGTGATTTTGTCTCCTCCCTTGGGGGCGCCTTTTGACTGGGATAATACAATTCTATATGTGGCGGTGGTGTCGCTGGCATCTGCTGGGTAAAGGCCAGGGGTGCTGCAGTCTACAATACCTAAGACACGGCTACAGAACATGAGAATCCAGCACCGAGTGCCCAAAGTGCGGAGGCTGCAAAACTCTGGCCCAATGGTGGCCCTGCTCTTGGTAGTAAGGACCTCTAGCTGATGAAGCCCATCAGGCAGGTGATTCACAGCACCTGGGCTTCTAATTATGAATGAGTCTCTCGAAATGGGTTCTAGAGTGGCCCTTCTGGGTTAGTAAATCAGAAGCCAGACCTAACAACAGCAAAGAACAACAAAAACCGCAGTTCACCTATCATATTTTTGTCAAAATAACATCTCTGGGTGAAGGGAGAAGCAGCACTAACTGCTGTGACCATGGACGGTTTGCTTCCTTGCTGGCTTTTTACCTGGATGTTAACCTGATGGACAAGATTCCAGGGAAGCTTCCAGCATGCAAAGGGCTCAAGGGCCCATGAAAGTCTAATTGGGACAAATAAGGAGAAGGCAACCACTTGTGAATCTGGCCCCAAACTTAGTCTGAATTGTGCTCTTCAATGTTCTGCTCCACCAAAATGAATATTTTTCCAAGTAAATGATAATTGTAAAATGTTATTATTTTTTTCTCTTTGGATGGTTGCTTCTCCGAGTATCAATTGAGCACTGTTAACACGAGTAAACTGGGACTTTTATGCTTTGTTTGTGATGGTACAAGAGAGCCCTTGTGCTCTCAGAATAGTTATTTCTAGACTTCAACTCCCTAAGGATAGTTTCCTCTCTAAGTGTTCCTTCCACTTTTTTTTAAGTAGTTAGTTAACTTGAAAGAAAGTATTTTAAAGAATCAAACGAGAGATGGGGGTGAGGGGAAATGTCCAATGTTAAATTTAAAGTTTACTGTGGGAAAAATTATAATATGCTAGTAAGGTGTAGTTGGTTTGTTATTTAATTCTGACAATTAAAACTCAAATGTATGGAGAGTAAAACGAGAAAACCATTATGAGACAGCACTTTACATCCACAAGGATGTCCCGGGAGCCTTTCAGTGGGAGGGGAGGCGGGGAGGTTCAAGTGGGGAGCTGGTAATAGAGCGGGGTTTGTGTTAAAGATGGTATAGCAACTTGGCAGAGGAGATAGAGAAAGTTGATATAATTTGAACAATGTTGGTCAGTTTTCCTGTAGAGATTGTGGATCCAAATGGGCTTTGATGTGTGTAATATCACCAAGAGAAAAGAAGAAGAGGAAGAGGAAGAGCACATTGTGAGTCGATGAGCACAGAGACGTCCTGGTGCTTCTCGTGGATCCCCTGCGCTCATGCTCACATTAACCCTATCGTGGCAGGTGCTACATGATTCCCACCTTACGGATAAGGAAACTGAAGCAGAGAGGTCCTATCATTTGTCCAACAGTTTGCATCAAATTCAGATATCCAAGTCGGAGTCTGTGTTTCTAGACCCAAAGCTCTGCTACCTTTCTCCTAATTGTGAAATGAGGAAGTAATCACACCTGCCCAGGAGGCACCTGATGGCCCGTGCTTAGTCTCCTGGGGAGCTAAGCAGCAATGCAGAAGCGAAAGGGACTCAGGACAAGATCAGCAGTTCTGAGGATGGCTACAGGCGACACTTCTGATTGAGAATGAAGTCAACTCTGCCCAGGGGCTCTTTCCCATATGGGAATTCCCCCGAGATGAGATGGTGCCTCTGCTCCTGCACTGTCCTTCTCTCCTCCAGGCTCAATTGTCCACCCCCCTCCTGCTCTGCCCTGCAAACCAGTATGTCCTATCAGAACAGGAAGCAAACCTTACTCACTTCTGTCACCTCTCACCCGAGCTGGCCACGCATCAGGTCAGCTTTCAGAAACGCTAACTCTAAAGTAGCATGGGAGCAGTCAGATAATGAAGGCACGACACCCTGGCTCTGACTTGGGCAGTTTGGGGAGATTTGAGAATCAGCTAAGGGAAGGGAAGCATGCAGGGTCCCAGCCAGTATCTTCAGAAGGGTGGCCAGGAGCAAGCCTGCTCCCTGAGGCTTATGGAGAGGGTGCTGTGAGGAGCACCCTGGTTCCTAAGTGTGGTGTTATTCTAACACAGATGGACATCTTACCAGGGCACTTCAGGGACATCAGTCTAATGAAGAGATCTCTCAAAAGTATTTGATATTTTAATGAATGAGCTACACATACCGATTCTGATTGTTTTACTGGGTCTACTGCAGTTTTCTGGTGCTAACTGCAGTTCATTAAGTGAGAGGACCCAATCAGACAGGGACAATTATCAGTCATGCTTTACAGATGGGGGACATGTCAGGTTTTAAGAAACATGAATAAATCCCCACCCCCAGCCAGTCCTGAGGCTTTGGGGTTCGGCTCAAGGGGAGTCCCTCTGGGACATGGGGGTGCAGTGAATGGTGTGACCCTTTGCTGGGCATGCCTACACAGTAGGGGATGCTGGGCCCCTCTAGGGTTTCCTGTATGGACTCCAATACATTTCTTCCCTTTTGCTTGAAAAAAAAAAACATGAATAAGTAACATGCGTGTAGACAGAGTAAATGGTAGGAGACTTGAACCAAGATCTGATCATAACTTTCCAGTTCCTCATTATCATTACAGAATAAGGGGCCCTGATGGTGCAGTGGTTAAGTGCTTGGCTACAAAAAGAAAGGTCAGGGGTTTGAATCCACCAGTAGGAGAAAAGCCCTGGCAACCTGCTTTCACAAATATGATCACCTAGGAAACTTGATGGGGAAATTCTACGCTGTCATAGAGGGACCCTACGAATCCAACCGATGTGACAATATGCTGTAACAGGCTATCAATGCTCACACTTCACTGGGGGCCTTTAGAAGCTGGATGACACGTATTTTTATACATGATATAAGGACACATAAAAAGAAGGTGGGGTCGAATCGGATAGCTTCATCTAAAATAACAACAACAACAAAACAAACCCACTGACATCAAGTAACTCTCCAGTCACACTCCCTTCGCGGAATCAATTCTGACTCCGTGACCCTAAGGGGCAGAACAGAACTGCCTGTGTCGGTTTTACAGACTTGAAACCTTGACAGTGCAGACAGACTCATTTTTCTCCTGCTGAGTGACTGGCGAGTCCGAATCTCTAACCACGTAGTTAAGAGTGAGCAAGTATTCCAGTTTCCACCATAGGCAAAGATCACTTTCAAAGACAAATTCTTTTGAGAAGACTGGGCCGTTGCTAATTAGTGGTACTGGAGCAGTGCACACCTTGTAAATACATCCAAGACTTGGGTATATTTATAGGTTCCCTAGTGCGAGCTCCCCGAAGGGTTTTGTTCATGCTCACCCTTAGGTTTTGACTGTGGACAAGGTAGTCAGCCCTGTGGGATGCACTGAGCCGAAGCAGAAGGGGTCCACGGGTGTCAGCCAAGGGTTCAGAGAGGGTGCTGGGAGTTTGCAACGGAAACATGTTGCTTTCAGAACAGAACATGCGGTGAGCTTTGATGGGTGGCAAGGAGGTAAAAGCTAACCAGCCACGGCGGAGCCACATGCTGCACCAATCGAGTCGCGTTAACTAAACAGTAGCGACACAGCTCTAGACAGCAGAGAAAAATGAGTAGCAATATACACGAGAGCAAGTACAGCACTGGTTTATGAACTACAATTGGGACAAGTGTGAAGAAGGGTAACCCTGTCCTCTAACCACACTAGTTTTTGTCACTCCAACTAGACCACACTGTGAACAGCATGATCTCTAGCATTCCCCTTGCTGCAGAGGCATTTGATGCTGGGGAGAACTGCTGTGTCTAACATCCTACTAAACGTGGATTTGGGCTCTAGGGGACAAGTTTTCAAATGAAAAATCGTTGATTGCTGATGTCAAAGTCACTTATTTGTAATCCCAAGGCTCTATTTTTACCAGTAAAAAATTTTCTCACTCAATCTGTTGCAAAGTCAAACTACATGCTCAGGAAAAGTGAGAGCACACTGGAAATATATGGAGATGTTCATTCAATAGCAAGCAAGCCATCAATACCGTATTGGCCATCTGCAGGGCAGGGTCCATCAAGCCCAGGATTTCTTCATTATAACTTGACTCTAAGCTAATGATGTCATCAATTACATCATCCATCTGTAAGAGAAAGGGGCAATGGAAGGGAGATGGAAGTGAACAAAAATTGTGCAAAGAAACCCCAAAGAAATAAACAGAATTCCAAAGTTCCCTAACTCCCAGCAGTAACATCCTTTAGTAAGATCCCAAGAAATAACTTTCCGCCTCCTTCCCGAACAAGAATATCACCGAAGACCATTAGCACTAAGGGGTGAGGAGAATAATTTTCACAGCCAGCACACACTCCCACTCCATGAGGGCTTACTAGGGGTCACGTAATAGGCTTCGGCCTATCTCATAAGTGAATGATTAAACCCGCCATTAACGTAACCAAAGCAGTTTCTATTATGATATACTTTCCCAGAGGAGGTAATTGCTATACAACGAGATACAGAAACTAGCCCTAAGCCTCCCATGTAAGAAGGACAGAGCCATAATTTGAACCTGTAATCTCAACTACTATGCTAAACAGCCCTCCTTATGCAGAGAAGATGAACAAGGAAATAGTTCATCTTGAATGTTAGCTGCTATTCTTCCCCTCACCCCACCCGCCGTGCCCTGCCCTCCCCAAAGACTGCCCCATCTGCTTCCCATGTGCCCTTAGAGCAGGGGTTCTCAATGTGTGGATCGCAACCCCTTTTGGGGTCGAACGACCCTTTCACAGGAGTCACCCAATTCATTACAGTGGCAAAATGACAGTTATGAAGTAGCAACGAAAATAATTTTATGGTTGGAGGAGTCATCACAACATGAGGAACTGTATTAAAGGGTCATGGCATTAGGAAGGCTGAGAACCATTGCCTTAGAGCAAGAAAATGCAACTAGTAATTCAGCCCTGTGGCCCCCAGGGGGGTGAGTGGGGCACGGAGGCTCCTAGGCCACTGCGTGGATGTCACAGTGACTTGTAAAATAACTTTCTCCTGTACAGCTGCCAGTGAGCCTGGTACTCCCTGAGGACTACACCAGGACGGGGTTAGCATTACAGCTGTGGGGCTGACATTCCCACTAGATCAATTTTATTCCTGAAGTACCAAAACAGCAGTTATGATCATAAACAACGGTGATTACATGTGCATTGCAGCAGTTGCAATGACAAGATTGTGAAAACATTTCTTTGTAAACACCTAAGCAGTTGAGCTAGTGAGTGTGTGCATGCATCTGTGAGAGTGTGTGAGAGAGACTGAACACCTGCCTAGGTCTTAACAGTGTCCTGCAAGCACCCAATGAAATGTCAGCACTCAGGGGGACCACCTCTCTATGTCTTCTCACCAGGGCCCTTCCAGAAGATGGGCTCTGAAGTCATGGGGGGTGTGCTGAAATCCTGGCTCCTCTCCTTACCTTTCTAAATTAGAGCTGGAGTATCGACTCCTCAAGAGCCTCATTTACTCACCTGTAGAGTGGGGCTAGTCATAGTGCCTGTCCTATGAGATTCCTGGGAGGCATTCAGGACGAACCCTGTGCCGTTCTCACAGGCCAGACAAGAAAGTCAACACTCAATAAATGGTCTTTTAAAGTGACTTCCTAAGAGACTTATGGGAGGCCAGCTGGGAGTCACTGTGGGCCACGCTGTTTATTAGTGCACGTCCCTAGGTTCATCGGTTGACTCGTTTTGAAGAGGAGGTCATTTTGTTGTTGAGTAGGGAAGAAGGCAAGTGTGCCAGGGAACTTGTAAATAACCATTCAAAGTAAATTTAATTTTATTTTTAGGACAATAAAATTGGTATGATACAATTTTTTAAAGCGTGCTTTTTTCCCCCCTCTCCTGGCAAAAATAATCTAGGTTGATAAAAAACATAAAGGAGGGAAAAAATACTGTCACTCTTCTCAGATATATGCATACGTAATTCAAAAAGAAATATATTAATAAATAGATATGGAATAGTTTATATATCAATCCAATGATATATTGTAGTAAAATCAAATGAAAAAATGTTCAAGAAATATTAAAAAAATTTTTAAGGTTTCAAAATATATGTGCCATGAAAATCTATTATATAAAATGATATAGGCAGGTAAATCAAAAAGCAGTGTGACAAAATCCTAGAAACCATTATCAAATGGAAACATCAAAATATGAACTAGCTTCGCACCTGTCTTCCATCGGGCCGATCCCCTGCTGAAGGCAGTGATTCTTTCCCCAGAGTCCTGTACTTTCTTATTTACACCGCCTCAAATGGCAGCTGTGGCATTTTCGATACTCACATCATGTTTTCTCTTTAATGTTCTTTGAGTTTGGGGAGCAAAACGAGCTCTGAAGGACCAAGATCAGGTTGTAGGGTGGGTGGGGTCAGGTTTCCCAACAAAAATCTCACAGGCCAGCCGTTGCTCGCCTCAATGAATGCGTAGTCGATGCATCATCATGAGGGAAACAATTTCCCATTGCAACTTTCTTGCTCTTTTTCTCACCAATGCAGTTTTCAGTTTTCTGAAAACTGATTCCTGATAAGCCTCTGTGATTATTCCATGTCCTTTAAGAAATTATATCAAGATTAACCCCTTGGGATCCCAGAAAAGAATGGTTCTAAGCTTCTGAGCTGAGGTCAATGTGGGGAATGGGATAAGCCCAGGAGATTGCTTTGATTCAACCATTATTTGAAGGCCCCGTTGTGAAGCTAAAACGTGCGTGTTACTAAGAGACCCTGTCTGCAGCAGTCCACTGACTGCAGGGGCTCACACAAACATGCTTTGTTTGCAATAACCTTGTGTATGTACAACCTGGAACCCAGTACCAATCCTGCTTGACGTGCCCGCGTACACCACAAAGTGCCACTTCTTTGTTTGACTGATACCCGATGAACTGTGCTGCTGCTTAAATGCATGGCACACGTTAATGATACTACTGCAGTGAGGTACAGCATGTTATACTTTCCCGAAATGTATGTATCGTATGTACTTGTTAATGACTTAAAGCAGCTTAGGGGGAAAATGCATCTTAACTTTAATTTCCCTAGTAATTTTTAAATTCTGAGACACGACAAAGAAAGTGGCCCCGCTCTCTGCCTTTTCTATTAAAAGAAAAAAATCAATGAAGAAAAAAACAACTTCTGAAGTCACCGGGAATGTGTGATCAGCCACAAATAGAGTCTCATTACGAAGTGCCACATCCCGGGGCTGCGGAGTCATTCAGTACCTGCATGCACGAAGCTCGAGAATGCATGCTCATGTTCGGGCACTCGCTCTCCGCCCGGTTTTGCTCTTCAAACTTATAAAAGCCCTGCAGAAACACAAGCGAAAACAGCCCATGACTTGGATCCGCCAGTGCCTTCCCAAGGACATGTTCACAGAAAGCTGACAGCACAGCAACAAGATGAACTAAGCTTTCAAACGAAGTGGGGGCTGGCCCACAGAAAACACAAGGAAGGAAGGACAGACGTCCATCCTGCCATCTTGATAAATGACAAACATGGGTAGGGAAAAATATGATTGGTTTGGGAAGAGAGGAAAAGACCTAACCACCCTAAAAATGAAATGAAAATCAGCCAAACGTTAGGAGTCACCTCTGAAACCACCAATATTTCAGAGTACACAGCATTCCGCTAAATGAGATGTGATTGCCATTTGGAAATGACAGGCATGAAATACCCAGGTCTCGCCCAGGTATTTGTGCGCTCCCACCTGTGATAGGGCAAAGCGCGCGCAGGTGTGTCTGGGTCTCATCTCCAATCCAGCCTTTTCAAAAAGCAGGTTTAACGGGTAGCGGCACTTTGATTCAGAAACGGAATTAGACTCAGCGTTTTGTTAAATTCCCATCTGCTGTACTATTCAAGGGGGCTGATGCACAATCCGTGGTGTCTGGGTGTGTGTGTGTGTTGCCCCTCCTCAACTCCAGTAAAAATAAAAATAATATCCCAGACATTCACAATGAGCGGAACTTCTAACCGCCTGCCCCACACCTTTTCTATTTTTGCTTTTCCTTTTCCAC